GCTCCTTTGTCAAAGATGAGGTAGCTGAGTACATCTGGATTTGTTTTTGTATCTTCCAGTCTGTTCCACTGATCCTCAGGCCTGTTTCTTTGCCAGTACCATGCTGTTTTTATCACAGTGGCTTTGTAGTATAGTTTCAAATTGGGAATTGTTATACCCCCTGCTATGTGTCTATTGCCTAGGATGGCTTTTGCTATTCTAGGTCTCTTCTGGTTCCAAATGAATTTTTGGATTATTTTTTCTAGTTCTGTGAAATATAGTGTTGGAATTTCAATTGGCATTGCATTGAATCTGTATAGCAGTTTTGGTAGTATGGCCATTTTCACTATGTTGATTCTTCCTACCCAGGAGCAGGGGATATCTTTCCATTTTTAAATATTCTCTTCAATTTGTTTTTTCAGAGTGCTGTAGTTTTCAGTGTAGAGATCTTTTGCTTCTTTTGTTGGATTGATTCCTAGATACTTCATTTTTTGGGATGCTATTGCAAAAGGAATTTTTTCCCTTATTTCTCTCTCAGTGAGTCTGTTATTTGTGTATAAGAAGGCTATTGATTTTTGGGTATTCACCTTGTATCCAGATACTCTACTGAATCTGTCAATTAAGTCTAGAAGTCTTTTGGTGGAGTTTTTTGGGTCTTCAATCTATAGTATCATATCATGAGCAAATAATGACAGTTTAACTTCTTCCTTTCCTATCTTTATTGCTTTAATTTCTTTCTCTTGTCTAATTGCTGTGGCTAATGTTTCCAGAACTATATCGAAGAGGAGTGGTGATAGTGGGCATCCTTGTCTTCTTCCTGATTTTAACGTGAAGGTTTTCAGTTTTTGGCCATTTAATATGATGTTGGCTGTTGGTTTGCAGGGTTTTATTTATCATGAATGGGTGCTGAATTTTATGACATGCTTTTTGATGCAGAATTTTTCAATGTTGGGGAGTTTTGGCATGGTAAAAAGTTAGGTATTTTAAAATTGGATACAAATAAGTTATATTTATCTTTATCAGTCTGTTAAATCCAGCTTTACTAAATGTAAAATTAGTAAAATACATTTAGCTAATAAATGAGAGTAATGAGGATTAATCAAAATAGCATTTGTAAAGTGCTTGGCATATAGTAGGTTCTTGTTTATGTCAGTTCCCTTCTTTCCTAATGGTTTAACACTTTCTCTTCCATTGCATTTAGATATCTGATATCCATGTTACTGGAGAGTCAGAAGATATGTCTGCAAAAGAGAAATTGCTACTGTGGACACAGCAGGCAGCAGAGGGTTATGCTGGAATACGGTGTGAAAATTTCACTACCTGCTGGAGAGATGGAAAACTATTTAATGCCATCATCCATAAATACAGGTATACAATTTGTGAGTTATTTCCCTTTATATATACATGAGCTGTTTCTTTCATTCCTAAATTTTAAAATAATCTGTTACTACTGTAGAAGCATTATGTGTGCATGACAGAGAGCTAGAAAATACAAATAAAATACAAACATTATGTTCCTACCACTAAGAGATCAGCACTCCAAACTTCAGTCCATGTGCACGCCTGCACACGTGTGTGTGCATGTACATACGTGCTCCCATAGCAGTAATATGTCTTTGAATTTTGCCAGTAACAGCATATACCAAGCCCTGATGTTCAAAATCTGACCTAGATTGCTGTCAGAAGTTTCCAAGTCATGTTACCCAGTCAGGTTTCTCTAGTGAGTAGTGGCTTAACACTGACCAGTTTTGTAGTAGTGAACAATTTTTTGATGAGAATTATAAACAGATAAATCCACATTTACACCTGAACAAAGATGAGCTTCAGACATTTATAGCTAAATGGATGGACCTTGAGACCATACTCTTAAGTTAAATAAATTGGACACACATGTTTAAGTACTGCATTGTTTCTCTGGTGTGAGAAACTGAATGTAGAACTAAGGACTGAGATGTGTAATGGATTTTCGGAAATGGAAAGAAAGTGTTCAAATGGGAAGGGGAAGAAGGGAGGAGGGAGAGGGAAAGGAAAGAAGGGACAAGAAAAATGAAAATAGAAGGGAAATGGAAATAGATCTTTTGTACATAGGGAGGAAGGGGGCTTAAGGGGGAAAATGGGATAAAATAAAATAAATATTTAAAAATAAATAAAACTGAACAAAGCTTTTACTGCCAGGCAGTATTCTAAGCAGTTTGTGTAACTAATGTGATCTTCACATGTCCCTATTATCAGTCCTAGTTCGTGAGCAGAAACTGAGACAGAGTAAATGTTTGCCTAGTCTCACACCTAGCGAGTAGCAGGCATGGTGTTAGAATGTAGGCAGCCTGATACTGGAGTCTGAGCTTTTGTTGCCTTACAAGAGACTACATCTACAGAAAATGCTGATTGAAAGCTCTGTATTTCTTGATCTGCTGTTTTCCTTAATTTTTACAGAGATTGTATCCTGTTGTTGAAGAACTGAATACATTCCTAACTGTGCTAAGCCTAAGCTATAAACTCATTAAACTGAAAAAACTTACTTGGTTATAGTAAAAATAATTGTGTAGATTAGGTAATGGTTGAAGCATTCTGCGAAGTGCTTTACGTGCGTTATCTCATTCAGATTTTAACAATTCCATAAAGCAAGTCCTGGGCCAAGGATTTAGCTCAATGGTGCTGCCATCTGCCTCGCAAATACATGGTCCCGAGTTTGATCCCCGGTACCAATCAAGCAAGCAAGACCTGTTATTATTCCAGTTTTATAGATAAAGAATGTGAGGTTTGCCAAGGTCACACTGTCAAGAAGTTACAGCTGACATTCAAACCGAGCTCTGTTTGAATTGAAATCCTATTCTTCTCTCTCTTCCTCCCTTTACCTACCTTTTTTTCTTTCTTTCACTCCTTTTCTCTCCCCTTCATCTCTCCCTCCTTTTTTATTTTGAAAATTTTAGTATGTATAAAATAGTAATGAATCCTTCATGTATCCACACTCAAGAGTGCTCCTATTTTTAGTCTCTTTCCTTTATGGAATAACATTTAAATAAAAGAGGGTGTAGGTTGTTGAATTTCAAGGAAAAACCAATATCAACTTGCCTCTATTAGATCAAAATAAAGTGTCAGATCTCCTGGAGTAGCTCGGTGCTGAGAGGGTTTAATGTTACAGATATTGCCATTGTTACAGTGCACTTCCCTGCTGACTTAAAGCAGAAGGGCTGTGTGGCCAGACGCATCTTCTACAGGGACGATAGATATTCGTTGCAGTACCTACGGAGCTATGTCATGGTACATCTTCAAGGGTGTGCTCTGCTCTGTCTTTGAAACTTTCTCGGCTAGAATCAAATGTTTTTAGAAGCCAGTTCTTTTTCTAAAATAATGTACTTTAAAAATCAGTGGTCTGTAAGCAGTGTGTCTTCATTATTTATGAAGAATTGTAAGAACAAACTGCCATACAGAAGCTGTGCATTTTTCTACTAAGAATGTAAATAAGTTACTGTGTATGTTATTTCCTAGGGACGATTAGTGTTGCAGAGCTCTTGTTGCTTTTGGTGAGTGTTTGAACCTTGTGAATGGTATTCATTTTAACTTTTAATTTGGAATAGTGATCATTTTAGAAAACTGTTTAGCTTTAACTTTGAATTTCACTTTTCCTAGTTTGCTTTTTTTTTTTTAGATTTGTGGTTCAAAATTCTATATATCAGGCTTAAATACAAGATTTATTTGTTGTTGAGGTTTTGTACCTGATATCCTGAACCTAATAAAATATCACTATGGTTTCTTTCATTAGAAGAAAACTTTCACCTATAGAACTGTATTTTTTTTAAAGTCCTTTCCTTTCTTATGAAGAGAAGTGCTTTTCTTCCAGCATGTGTAAGAATTGATTGGATAAGGTAGAAATGAATTCATTTCCTGCTGTTGATGACGTGATTTTACTCCAAAGATAGAATAGACAAAGTGGTAAACAAACTATCACCATGAGCAGGTTTTGGGATATTGGACAGTATTAGCCACATTTAGAGAATAGTACCTCATTCAGCAGTTGTTTTTACATAACAGGTGTTCCCATAAGTTTGTGGTGTATTTGAATTGCTGTGAGGCCAAATCCATTTAATTGGGCTTTGGTTTTGTATTTATTTAGACATTGTATTTATTTAAACATTTACTGTTTATCTGAATTTTGTCTTCTGTAGTTATGGATTTAATTTGGCTTCTGTAGTAAAAATGATCTGAGATGACATGTGGATCTGCTTTCTGCCCTATGGAGTGGTGTTTTGGGTAGGATCTGCAGAGAGCATGCGGGCTTAGCAGGGTAGAATCTCCTGACAGAAGCAGTGGTGCAAGCAAGAACGGATGTGGGACTAAGTGCGCTGGGTTTTGTACCCTAGATAGACTAGGAAACTGCTCTAGAGAGTTAACAATAAACTGAGGTGTGGCATGGCGGTACACACCTGTAATTCCAGCACTCTAGGAGGCTAAGGCAGGGGGAGTACAAATTTGAGCCCAGCCTGGCAGTGTAGTGATTTAGCAAGACCCTGTCTCAAAATAACTCACTGGGGGAAAAGGCCTGAGGATTCAGTTCAGTTCAGAGGTGCTGGGCTTAATCCTTAGAACCACAAGGGGAAACGATGAGTAAAGTGGACCTGCGTTACTTATAGTGAGTTAGTGTTTGTGTGTGTAATGTCTCCCAAAGACTTTAGAAATTCTAATTTGACACAAGAATAGAGTAATGGCAGCCTTTAGATTTTTATTAATGTAAGTTATACTGTCAGTAGTTATTAGTCAAGTACATTAATTTGGATTGTTAGCACATTTGTATTAGCACTGCCACATAAAATATGACTTGAAAATTAACACCAGAAAAGAATATTTTGTTAGTAATTAAGTCATAAAATTTTCCAAAGAAAACATACTTTTCTTCAAAGAACTATTCTATGAAATAAAAACGAGACATCCATGTAATAAGCAATTTATAGCTGTCATAGAATTAAAATGATCTGTGAAGGTAAAAAGAAAGTAACTGTCACAAGGTGAGTCCCTGAGAAATAGATGCAGAATGTTAACCATGTAGATATTTCTGTCCTAGCTCTTAAAAACACCTCAATTCTCTGAAATAGATTGTGTCTGCTTTTTATATTAATAAAGAAACCAAAACTCAAAGGGTTTCTAACCTACCTTTGAGGTAATGGACTTCTTGTCCTGAGAATCTTAGGCGGACTAGATTTCAAGAAGTGGAACAGTTGTCCAGAACAATTATGATAGTATAACCTCAAAGACTTACAGTATGTAGTAAAGATACTGTGAAGATTATTGATGAATATAAAAAAGGATTAATTACATACACAACTAACAACTGAAGTCTTCGCTCCTTGTTAAAAATGAATAAGGGACATTCGTTGTTCAGCTTAGTGTTAACCAACAATGAAAATAGCACCAGCAACAAATTATACAATGAGGAAAACTGTAGATAATAATAGAAAATTAAAATATGTCATCTTAACAGCAAAATTGCAAATGATCTTTTCTGTAGTTTTAGTGTGTTGTATTATCCTAAACCGGTGACGAGCCTGGGTTATACGCTGGGAACGAAGTGAAAAGTGACATGATTTCCTGGAACAGGTTATATGACAGCTCTGTAGCTTCTGTTGTCCACTGAATCTGTGGTAGGCAATTTTGTTCCTTATTCCTTCTAGGAACTTCTATTTGTTATGTTCAGTTTTCATTGGAAAAGGATCACATAATTAAAAACCACATGCCTGTAGTAGTTTCCACTTGTTTTGTTTGTATAGCTTGAATGTTCTTTAATGCATTATAAATCTTTTCACTGAAAATCACATCTGCTAGGAAATTTTAGTTAAATAAGCGTCATTGTTGCCTGTAACTTTAATTATTCAGAAGAATAGCAAGGAAGGGGGCTTCCAGTACAAAAAGCAAAAAAAAAAAAATCAAGGAAGACCGGGTTTTGTGCTGTGTTTAGGTGAGAAGGGTGTCACTAAAGCATGTGATAAGTAAGCAGCTTAGAGGAGAGATGAAGTAGAATTTACTGGGAGGCAGTAGGGAGGAGCTCTGGGAGTAGCCTCTGAATACGAGGGGCGTTGATGTCACCAAGACTTAGGGTAGGTGTAGAGGAGCAGACGTTCTAACAGTACTGCATCCTCTTCAGAGGCAGGAGTTGTAGCAGAGGGTTCAGCTGTGTCCTCAGGTATCACTAGAAGACTGCTTTGCTACCCTCTGAGGGGAAGTGCTGCCTGCCAGTTTGAAATTCAGCCCCAGAATCTTCTGACTTCTGTCAGTCTCTTCATGTGGATATTTGTCTTAGAACACCAATGGAAGTTCCAGTGCACCCGCCCGAACAGTGCCTGCTTGAGCAGCTCAGATGTGAATGTGTCCCCACA